ATGGGGAGCGGTGTCCAGGAGTGTATTGGTATCAACTTGGTCTTAAAGGATTTGGGACTGGAAGTTGACCAGATCACTGTGTTCGAAGACAGCTCCGAGCCGCGTTCCTCCCGGCGCGCTACGAGTGTTGGAGCGTCAACGTCGTTGACATCGACGAACAGATCTAGTGTCATCAGGGAGAATCTGGTACGTACTACTCGTTGGCCCACTGTGTCAAGTGGACACAGGTCACAGTGCGATGAACACGGGCGACAGAGTGGCTCCAACACTAGCGACATCAATGGGAGCGACGTGGGTATTTCGACGTGAGCGATGAGAAGGCTTGGGCAGGCGGCTCGGTCAAAGGGGACTCCGTCTGCATGTAGTGTCAGTTAGTTTTGCATTTTAAAGACCCACCAGCTCAATCACTTTCCAAAACACCACGACGAGTACAAGCGCCTTTCCGCCTCTCCGCAACCCTCCTTCCTCCAAGTGTCAACTTCCGACAACGAGTACCGCCAGCGTTCGCGCTTCCTCTCGTGTAAACAAGGGAGGCGTGAACTGCACGAGTATGTGCAAGAGATACGGGAGCTCACGGCGTCCCTAGTGGGAAACCCACTCAACGAACACATCAAGATGACTGTGTTCATGGACGGCCTTCGAGTAGGCCCCGCACGCACTCGGCTGTTCCGGGTGCAGTCAAGCACCCTTGAAGAGGCGATTCAAGTGGCTCTTCAAGAAGAGTACAGCCATCGCCAGGCGCGTACGCCGGCCCCAGCGTGGCCTGGGAGTTCCTTGTCGGCTCCCGGTCGAGCGAGCCCCAACGGACCAGTTCCCATGGAACTCGGGTCCGCCGAACAGCGTGACATCCGCTGCTTCGGCTGCGGGAAGATGGGCCACTTCAAGCGCGACTGTCCCGCGAAAAGACTCCGCAGACGGTCCTTCCCCAAGCCCGTCCTCAAGGGTCGCTGACAGAAGCCAGGATCCCGGGGACAGGGGAACGCCGGGAACCAGTAGGGGTGGGGCGCCTTACTGGGGAAGAACTAAGTCTTCGTGATGGGTGCGCGGGTGGCGCGTACCACGGGGACTTAGCCCCGGAGAGTCTTCGCACTCTCGAATCGGCGAAGAGCAGCGGCGGGTTGCTCGTAGTACACGGTCGTGTACGGGGATACGATCATTCCTTTAGAATCTTGATCGATTCTGGGGCGTCGAAGAATTTCACACGCCGCCAGACAGTTGCTCGTAATAGCAACAAGTTGTCCGATGCTTTGAGAGAAAGCAAGGGCAACGGGACGGTATCAGTGCGACTGGTCGACGGGAAGATCGTCACTGTCCCCAATATCCAAGTGGATCTGGCCGTCAAGTTTGAAGACTTTGACAGCATCGAACAGTTCACTGTTCTCGATATGGATCGATGTGATATGATCCTGGGCATGCCCTGGCTTGAGAAGCATGAGCACTGGATCGACTAGCGAGGCAAGGCAATCGGTGCCAGTCGCCCTGCGCAGTCCGACAGAGCATTGGTGAGTCATGTTCCCACCTCTGTCAGGACCCGGGGCGCCCGCAAGGGCTGCCAGGGTACCAAAGCATTCGGCAGATGCTTGGGAGTCGTCGAAGTATATGACGACTCCGAGGATGTTTTGATGGTGGCTGCAGCGGGGCTGCCGTAGCTTTAGCGTCAGAGGAAGACGTTCGACTCAAAGAGTCACTAATACTAAGTTCCTTATCCAAAGGACACTTACAGCCCAAGACCAGGGCTCAAAGCTAATACCTTAACTTTTATGCTTCAAAACCAGAAGTGCTTTATTTACTATTATTGCGGCCAAGCCGCCTAGGGGTAAATGTATCTATCAACTATCTAGCATAGTTAAACCTAATCAAATGCATAACGTGTGGCTTTCGGCCAACGTACTGAAAGACCTTGTTAACTCTCCAACTTATGTACTGAGAGTTTGTTAACTCTCCGGGTACTTCGTACCCCTGTGTGCTCCACACCATGTAACCCCGTTACACTCTCCCCCACTAAGATGAGAACATTCGGTTCTCGAAACTCTCCTCAGCGAGGTCACGTCTTGTTAAGACGGCGGAGGTTACTACACCTCACACCAGCGTTGTACAGCTCCGTGAGCTCACAAACGCCTACGCATCGTTGATGCCCAACTTCTCGTCGTCGGCCCACGGCCCAATGCTCCAAGCGCAGCGCGCATCTTGCTCTCAAGCGGTCTCAGACCTACGCTCGCGCTCCGCGCCTACTCCAAGAGCTGCAAACCGCTTAGAGCAATGCTCTTGACTCATTCGAGTCGTCGACAACAGCTCAGCGGTTGAACACTCGCTTCACAAGCGATAGGTCCGTGGTTCAAACCCACTAGGGCACAGCCCTCTCGTTCCATGAACGATTGTTCACGCTTGGACAAGCTTAAGGGCAACACCCTTTTAGCTCAATGGTTGAGCGCTGGCTTTGAGAGCCACAGGTCGGTGGTTCGAGCCCACCAGGGCACAGCCCTGTCGTTCCATGAACGATTGTTCACGCTTGGACAAGCTTTAGAGCAATCCGCTTTTAGCTCAGTGGTCGAGCGTTGGCTTTGGGAGCCACAGGTCGGTGGTTCGAACCCCGCCAGGGCACAGCCCTCTCGTTCCATGAACTATTGTCCTTGAATGGACAAGCTTAAGGGCAACCGCCTTTTCAGCTCAGGGGGTCCGAGCGCTGGGCTTTGGAAAGCCACAGGTCGGTGGTTCAAATCCACCCGGGCGCAGCCCTCTCATACCATGAGTAGTCCCGTTCTCGGACTGACGTACGGGCATCCGCCCTTGTAGCTCAATGGTAGAGTCCGGGCTTGTCAAGCCAAAGGCCAGGGGTTCGATCCCCATGCGGGAACACCAATTTTCGCTGGTAACAGCGCATCCACATTTGGAACCTGGCTCTTCAGGCAAGTTGGTTCCAAAACAATAATGGCTCTATCGAGACGCTTGTGGCCTGAACCTTGGTTCAGCACAACACGAAGCCCTGGCTTCCTTCCGGGACCCTGGTCCTCAAACATTACTAAGGTCTCTCCACCTCCTGGGCCCGGTTGGGAGGACCCGGCTATAACGAAAAGAACTGGGGGGTGCGGCCCGTGGGGTAAGAGCCGGGCTCATCTACTAATCTCTACTGCTCCCCTCATCCAAGTGGGGAGGTCGCCC